AATTATCATTAGTAGCAAAAAGTCACTTGCCAATTTTCACTCATTTTTGTAAACTTGTCCTTCGAAGGACGATCACAAATTCTTAAAAGTTCAGTGAATTTGTGTGATAACCCATAAAGGCTGTAAAAAGTAGTTTTGCTGTAAAAATACTTGGATCCACTGCAAAAATGTTAAGTCATGTAGCCTTGGTTTTCTTTTCAAAAGAGGCGACGGTAAAGCCGATATTTTAAACGACGCTACATTGGTTGGCGTTCTATTTTTTAGGGCTCCCCCAATTCAATGCTAGTGAATTGTGTTTTTGTTGAATTGAATAAAGTGATGTTACTTTTTCTCTATCTCTGTCTCCACTTTTCGTCACATTACGAGCAGTTTCAAAGCTAATTTCTGCTTCATTGTAAAATTTTGTGCTTTTTTGGTATCACGCTCTTTCGAATAGAATCTAATGTATATTTATGCAGGTTGTAGAATTTGGAAAAGCATTCTGAACAAAGTTATGGTTACAGCAGGGCAAGCGAAAAGTCCAAAATTTGCCAAAGTCAGCGGAGAAGTTTGTGAGGTGTTTTGAAGTTTAAAGTAAGCGCTGAGTCCTTTTTGTTTGCATGTACCTGTCCGTCACAAAATGACGGGTCAAAAATAGGGGTCAATGAGGAAGTCGTAAAAATTTTGGGCTTCAAAGGGGATGCCGTTTTTGAATTCCGGAATGCAACCTCCTGCCAACCCTGCAACACGCTGCGACGGCAGTGCTTAGCTTCACGTACAGATGGTGGAAGTATGAAGGCAGTCCTACTAAGGATCTGCTTATATAATGTGGGCGTTAAAGCTGGCACTACGGTAGAAGCATGAGGTCACTTGTGATAGAGTATTGTTCATTTTTGCCATTCATTTTGGGTTCCCTTGATAGAATGAATGACGCTGTCAACTCTCTGCGAGCGAATATTCTACTTTTAGAGCTAAGACTGTACACTCAACATGAAAACATTTTCGCAGTGATCAACTTTCTTGTTTTTTCCTAACGGGGCTATTATGCTTTCCGTTTTACTCGTTAGATGTTCGTGTACGCGTACATAGTGTGGCCGCCCGTTCTCGCCAATATAGGTAGCGTGGCAGTCTAGGCATTCAAGCCCGCATACTGCTTCAGTTCTTACACAGTCTCCTTGTTTTCCGTAAGGGCAAATAACGCAGCATTTGAACGTGCAGGCGATATCGTATAATCTATGACGTATGAGTTAATTTCTGATGTTATTCCGCGGTATATTGGTGAGAACGACATCACGTTTCGGCTGCGCTCGCATCTAACGACTTCGTAGTGCGTGTGTTACCCTGTCTGAGACGAATGGTAAGCAGAGAGGAATTATGTTAGATCGTCATCAGATTGTGCAGTTGCCCTTCGAATACGTGTAGACCTGGCCGAACAGTAGCTGTTTGAGGCTGCTGTCGCGGACGCTAGCACTCCAGACTTCTGTCGTTCACTCTCACCACTGCAGATGTTAGTCGCCGTCCGGAACACACTATGCAAGATAGCACGCTTAACGGCAATCGGGTGGGCGGACTTGGCATGTAAAAGCATGTTCTTACAGCTGTCTACAGCTACCATATATGTATCGTACCACCGGCCAACATCAGTTGTGTGCTGAAATAGGGCAACCAACCTTCGTTCGAATTTTATGTACTGGAATTGTTGATTTGATCTGCAAAACACTAGTCCATTTCGAACTGAGTTGATGTAATTAACGGCCGTCTATGTATCTGCACTACATAAGTAGTCTTCTAGATAACACCGGCTTCTCTATTTTGCTCATAAAGCATCTAGCAACATGGGCGCTAATGCTGACCCATTGGCATCCTCTTACCTGTGACCAGAAGTCTCCAGAACACTTGTTTTATTGCACTTGAGACACTCCCTTCGAGAGTTATGAGTCGCGTTTAACTGAGTCCATACGTCGACATACTTGCAATGTGCTCATCAAGCATCTCGGAAAGAGCCTCTAGTGCTTCGCTGTTGGAGACATTGGTGTACAAACGACACGTGTAATGCTTTATGATGCAACTTTAGTCAAAATTTACGTCGCAGTCGATCAAGAAATGTCTAGCGTTTGTCAGATGGGAGGGAATTTTTTTCGAGAAGTGGGCCGAATTTTGTTGAGAAACCATGATATCCTGTCAACTGAGCCGTTGATGCACCTGATAATTGACCGGATCTTGTATTCTGTGGCAGGCGCGCAACGTGTTTTATGGGTTTATTTTGTTCACTCAAAAGTCTCTCGAATTTTCATAGAGTGTAAATTTGATGTTAGACCGCATACCAGCGCAGATTTGCTTGGACTTTCTTTTAATCCTCTTCCAGCTTTCGTTGTTCATTAGTCGTCTACATGCTCATTCCCTCGTTCCATATTTGAGTAGAGAGGAGTATAACAAATGTTGTTTCTGCTTGATAACCACGGCAGAGACATTCTGGTATAACTTTTTTTATTTTTGGATGATCTTCTGGGCAGGTTGCATGTAACTCCTGCTCTATTGTTTGTGATGAATTTCGGAGCAATGGTCATGGCACGGCATCTTCTGAAGAAGATGAAAGGCTGTCACGTGGCTGTTACTTTCTGGCGAAGTGCTAGAATTTCTTTGACTATTGAGAACAAATGTGGCTACACTTCACGAAGTATCTCATAGGCTGTCTGTTCATAAAACCTGGGCATGTTCAGTATATCTCAGAGCTTTCTTTTCCAAAGCAGGTATGATAGAAATATACTTCGGCCTAACGTTTCGGCATCAGTGCCTTCCTCAAAGGCCTGAAAGTAAAGTAATTTACCTTTATCTCATATGATTACTGCCCTTCAAAGTGATAGCAAAGGGTTTGAGCACACATCATGCTGTGCTGTAGAGTAGAGAAGCAAAAATGATTAAGACGTCATCGAAACAAATTTTCGATGCAATCTATTAGCAATCGCTAAGGAGCTTGCCGTGAATGATTCTCAATGACACTAAACAGATGATCCAATAATTATTCTTTGCGTCACTAAAAAAGCACCACTTAACTCCTCTGGATAAAAGAATTGTCATCAAATCAACGATTCACTTCAGAAATCATAATCGGCTAAAAATCTGGCTGAAAGACGTTAACGAAACATTTGCCGTAACAAATATACAGACGAAGATGATCAGAATGGAGTTCCGAATCATGAAGCATACAGAAACGCATGTGATCTAATGGCCCTGAAGAAATGAAAACTATGAGAACTAAAGGAAGTTGCTGCTCGCTTTTGTAGCGCAAAAAGCCAGTTTGTTTTACCGTGTCTGCTGTGAGTTCAAAAAAAGCATCATGCACGATGATTATAGCCTGGGCTTGCATTTACATGTTTAGACATAAATTCACAGCATGTAAGCAAAAAAATTTTTGGGCGTTTTTCCATCAAGCCTTGAGCGAAGTAAGTATTTGCATCTGCGATACATTCCTTAAAAAACATACTATTTTTGACATCTAACTTTTCGGTAACAAAATAGTCTTGAGCACTATATTTCAAAAATTCAATTCGGTTTGAGCATTGCAAAAATTGATTGATGGCAATGCGACTGGGTAATTTAATGATTGTTGCGTGATTAAGCAAAGACTTCCTCCAAGTCGATTGGCAAAATGATCTGAAAGCTCCGAAAGCACGTTGAATTGTTATTCGACACACTTGGTCACAAGGAACGGCCACACTTAGTCACGAGTTGCGGGCTGGTTTAAGGACTAACAAAATTTTTTGTTACAGTCTGTCAAGAGATTTTTTTTATCTAAATCTCCAAAGCTATTTATTAGGTTGATGCAAAAGTAAAGGGCGTTTTGCGAGTTCTCACTTTGGCGTGCTATAACTTTCTAAAAAATCCATATTTCTCGGTACGACAGAGGCAAGTCGGCAAGTCCATCAGAGGCACCATACCTCTCTCTATACAGCGCACATTAACTTATGCTAACATCGCAAAACGGTGGAAAATTTGGATTGATAAGCAAAAAAAAAGTTTTTTCGTGAATTTCGTTTTTAACTGATCATAACTTCCTTCAAGATTTGTCGGTATAAATGAAAAGTTGACTGTCTTGTAGCCGTAAGCTAGCAAAAAAAAGTTGAAAGGGGCTCAAACAAAGAAGACTTGCGAAAAGGAAAAAATAATATTCAAAATTGTCCGATTTTTTCGACATTTTTTCGTAGCCCTCAAAATCCCGAAATATGGAAATTTTTGATCTTCTATAAACTGAACAGCTTCCATGTTTCTGCAAAAACTGTCAACAACAGGCCCACCCTTATGCTTATAGAAATGAGCGAAGCTTTGGCGATTGCCCTCTTCAAAGGAAATTTATGGCCCACAGAATAGTCAAAACCATCACTCATGTTGAGGCGCCGAAATCTCATTCTGATTAATTTCTGAGAAAACAGTAAAGCGTGCATAACGTAGAAAATTTCTACTACAACAGTAGTCAAATTTGCAAGAGAATGCGTTCACTGGCGCCCAAATTCTGGCCAAAAAAGTAAGTGCTATGAAATTCTGGTTTCGAGTGCGGTTGTATGAAACTCTAGAAATTTTTAACGAATGCTAGAAACCTCTTTTAACCACCTTTGAATAGAGCATGAAAGAAGCTTCTTAATGGTATGCTGGTAAGTTGTATAGGGGAAACTTTAATAGAGAAAAGCTATCTTGAAAGAAGAGCTAAAAAAACGCGCATTACTTTTGCACCAACCTATACATACAAGCGATTAAAAGAAGCACTCGCATGTGACCGATACAAGGCAAAATGCTCTTAGTGCTAAAATGAACATGGGCATGCAATGACTAGAAGAAAGCCTCGAAGAAATAAGCGTATTTAACGACAAATACTTGAAATATATACGTGTGATAATTTAACAAGTATTGTAGATGGGGCGCAAACTAAAGTTAAGAGATGCGATGCAGCGTGGAGAAGAACCTGGTACATCTTATGATCACAAAAAGAAGATGCCCTAGAAAGAGAGAGTAGTGCGATTAATGTGATGCAAGCTGAATCCACACCGAAGTCTCAAGCTATACAAAGTTTCGGTGCTAGTAAAGAAGCGAAGCAAGGTACTTCACGAACGGCTACGCCAAAAGCAACAACGTCTACTTGCTACATGCAGCTTGGAGACGAGGCTTTCAAAGGTTGAATTTGAATTAAAATTCAAGAGGCAATTTAAGGAATTAGGAAAATCACATACGAATAACTTTTATATGAATGTTATAGGTGGACCAGTGGATACAGTGTTCAAAACTGCACCAAATGTCGAACTTATCTTCTGTTATGAAATGGATGATCAAGCACCGGGATACTATTAAGAGGACTACATTGTGCCAAAGAAACAAAAGAAAAGTAAACATTGACTATTACTCGTGAATTATGCCATAAGTATTAAATTACTGCACCTAATAATTCAAAACGGCAGGAAAAAGTGGACATTGAATTGAAGTATTATCGTAAATTGGATGGAAGGAAGCATCCGATGCTTAAAGAATTTGAAGAATATATTTCTGAAGCACTGGTAAACACTATGTTGAAGCCGTCTATATGTTTACGAACAAGCGCTAACTCAAATTTCGTCTCTGTTTAGCCGGATGCTTTGGCAAGGAAAGGCAATCCATTGAAAAACGATACATGGGGTTATGTGGCCTGTATAAATCGGTTTACGCTCGCAGCTATGAGAGCGCGAAAACGGTGCGTTGTTTCTCAAACTAAGAAGCTTTTTTTGGCATTCCGTATTTCCAGAATAAACCGAACAGTAACAGTCGACGATGCAATCTATTCGTGCGAAATTGTGGCATAATGAGCCTAAAAACAGAAGGGTTAGTGTAAGTTCTCATAAAAGTATGATAAAAGCTCTTATTGCCTTTAATAAGTTCATAGAGCAACGACTTGAACCAGGTGAGTGACGGACTCGATGCTTTTGATACTTTGAGCATTTTGTTACTGATTCATTTACAAGTCTTCGCTATCGATTTACAAGGATTTGACATGTTTGCAGTAGCCGGTCGTGAACGTCGCGAAGTTTTAAAACATGGCAAAAGACTATTTCTGAACTATACAGTAAGACTGAATGTCGTAGAAAAGCAAGCGCTATCGTTTCAGGGTATCGTACCCAGCAAAAAAAGTGTGTCAGTTTATCTGCTTTTTGTAACGTTATTTCATACATATAACTTGCAGAAAGGTGAACCTTACTGTGTTGCTAGAGCTGTGGTTGAGCATAAAGCAGTCGAAGAAACTGTAGAAAATAATGTAGATTTTTGAACAAAAAAAGACCTTGCGGCCAGCACAAAACTCAATGTTATGGAATTTGTCTTTGTGCGCTTTTGCGTCGCTGATTTTTACGATAACATAATTCTAGTGCAACACTGCAATACAAGCAGGAATGAGTGTATCTACAGAATGATGTACGGAAGTACTTGTCGGTCCGAAGAAGAAGATGTAACTTCGGTGAATGAATGGAGCGAACAGGGCTCTAAGAGTTCGTCATGGATGAAATTGGAGAAAGGCTTTGGGCGAGTGCATCCGTTGTTGCACCATTGATCTACTGCATAGACTAATACTTACGTACATATTTAGATCAGCAGCTATCCTGTCTCAAAAAACAGAGCTAGGGCTGCACAACAAAAGCTTCCATTTTATGGACAATATTTGTTCTTGATGAAGAGTCGAAAAAATGGATGATTATTATACAAAGTTATTACGAAATCAGTGAGTTAAAATCAAATCAAGCATACTTTTTACACACTAGCAGGCTGTTTTCCTTTCTTGCAGCATTATTGAAATGCAGCAGTTAGAAGGAATGACGGAGCCACTTGCACCGTTCTTTCTACAATATAGCGGAACGCGCGTACATAAGATGACCGTCCCTCATGTAATGAAACAGTTTTTGCGAGATAGTGAATTTGAAGATTGAACCTTTCTTGTAACACGGTATGTTGCTAACACGGAGTCTGCGTCAAATTCGTACTCAAACTGCTCTCTATCGTTTGCGATTTTTTATGCTTCAGACAAGGCATGCTATAGCAGATTTGCAGTAGGATCATGATTATCAGCAAAAAATAGATGAAAAAGATTGTGCAAATATGACAGGTATATCAAATTTAGCATAACTTACATCGAAATCTCTGCTACAGGACATTCGCAAGTAATGCAACTAATAAACTGTCAGAGACGGTACCTATACAGCTGCGCTTTCGGTTATGTAAAGATGCGGACTTTCGGACGAAAAGAGGCCGCTAAATATCCTGGACTAGTTCGAGAAGTAAAGAAAAAGTTCAATCTTGCGGAGAAAGTGTAACTGTGTCATCACAATTCTACATCTGCTAAACCCATCTTGCTGGGTTGTTTTAATTTGGAACGCCGTAAACATCTTGCCGATTTGGAAAGAGGAGATTTAGAAAAAATGGATGACTTTGACGAGGATGATGTAGAAGAGGAAGGCGATGAGGAAGATGCAACAAGAATTCTTGTGGAAAAGAAAGGCAATTAGGAAGAAGCAACGAGAATTTTTGATGTCGCAGGAAGTAAGGGAGATGGACAAACTAAACCAATCTCACGTGCTGGTGAATTTGTGCATTTTATACGAAAATTAAGATCATAAATTTTAAATTATTAAATCTAGATACGAGACAACGAAGTTCGCAACCGCTTACGGAAACTGAGTCATCGCCACGAAAACGCCCGAGGGTGTCACCAATGGAAGATGTGCCGGGAGAAAGCAAGCCGTTTGTTTTGGTTATTCTACCTTATGCTATGCATTGCAGGCTTGATCAAAAGCTCTGTATTGGACTTAGAGATGGAAAAGTCAGCTCGGAAGAAGGTGACATAGTGTCGTTGGTACTGCAAGCATCGTTGTTTTCATCACTCAAGCAATTCGATCGACCTCCAATAGACAACGACGAGGGACTGGTGCAGCATATCGTATCGTTATAAAAGATGAAGACCACAAAGAAGAAGAAAAAGAGAAAGAAAAAAATCAGTAAGCTGAATTTCAAAATTACGGCGAAAATTAGCGAAGCAAGTACAGAGCCTATAATGAGTGACGTGACAAGAACGACTACGAGTGAAGCCTCCGTGCCATCCGTGATGTAGCTGACACCACCAGATACACGATTTCCGATCTCGAAAGACGGTTTGAGCCTCTTGATCCAAGTTTGCGCTTGGAAGCTGTGAAACACCTTACACGGGTGGTTTGACAAAGATCGAGATTGTGCCCCAGCAGATCATTTCCTACGTCGATGTCATGCACAGTCTGTACAGGTTGAGAATTCATTTGTTTAGTGGAAACGACAGCATGTTTAAGGACTTTCCATGGCTTGAGGTGCGTGAGATGCCTACCAGTGGCGCACCGAGGGGTGGGGGGGGGCAGGGGGGGGGGGCGCGCCCCCCCACCCCCGAGAATGGGTCGCGAAATTTTTGAAAGTTGGTTAAATGTATTATAAAAATGTGCAGAGGACCTGTTTTCACTTGTAAATAATTAAAATAATTTTTAAAAATTTTTAAAAATTCAAATTAGCCTCGTAAAAAAAATTTTTCGGGGGCGTGGCTGCCGCCACGCCCCCTTTTTCTGAAATTTTGGGGTCAGTTGCCCGGAAAAATTTTGGGAAACATCCCAAAAATTTTTCGGAGTGCGTGGCTGACGCCACGCACCTTCATTAGAAAAAAATTTTTGTCGCCCCCCCCCCCACGAGCCGAAATCCTGGGTACGCCACTGATGCCTACCATCAATGGACGAAGTGTTCACGCCAGTAGATATCGCTAAAGAAATGGCGGTTGCTGATTATCGTAAGAAAACTTTCTGAAATAAGAGAGATTTTTGATTTAACGATAATATTGTTTGTATCTAGTGTGGCTATCAAGGACTGGCGGAAGACGTAAAAAATTTTCTCATTAAACTTAATGAAAAGCAACGCCATAAAGTGATCAAGTACTGGCATGGATTTAGAAGAAGCGGTAGCGATTTTATCGTACTAGCACATTGCGACTCATACAAGGCAACAGCAACGCTTGGTCGACTTATCAACCAGTCGATAGCGCACGCAAACCTAGACCTACGTTGTATTCGCTTTGGCGAACGTCGTGTTCGATGTTTGCATTGTTTGGTAGCCAAAGCGATATCAAGGTAAGGTTGAGCAAAATCATCTCATACATAATGAAAAGTTCTGCGCAATGAAAATAGTTTTACAGGCTGGTGAGCAGTTACTGTGGAACTATGGGAGAAGGGAGAGAAATCCAAACATACCTAGCTTTCCAGACAATTATCCGTGTATATGTCAAGGTGCGATCCGGCTGCAGCAGAAGGTGAATATTCGTTATTTATATATTTTGTTCCATTGATAAATTTTGTATGCACACTGATTCACACAGCTCCGTATTCATTTTTACAATCGGCAAGACGCAGCATCCTTTTACAAAGAGTGTGGAATTTTGAGCGGTCTCTCTCAGAGGAGGATCTTAGCTTACATGAAAGGCCTGAATTCGACATTAGAGAACTTCTATTTCTGGTGACACAGAAAGCGCGCGCAGTAGGTTTGCTGCTGGAAAGAATTCCTGCTGACGAGAGTTGCGTTTGCAATGAGCAGGCGTACTGTTTTCACTAAAAGTGTAAGTATGCACTTTTACCCAGGTTTGGATACGACATTACATCGATGTATATAGGATGTGTTTCCGGACCCTGCCATGTTTTTGGTAAAGGTTGCATCCTCTTTGCCGCAGTTGCAAATAGCGACGGAAGCTGCTTTCAAACAAATGGAATCAACTGTTCATATTCTGTACCGAAAGCGGAAGGATCCAAAACCGCTGGTTATTTTGTTAGGCGCACGCAATCTTGAGGAAAGCGGTCATCGTTACGGCTGCTGCGTAGCAGTTGTGGGCGAAGAAGTTTACGCAGTGGTAAGCTGGTTCGCATGCATAGTCTATGAAGGATTTCGTATGGTTTTGTTTGTAGGAATGTCAGGCGGAAGCCAGAGCTAACGAAATGCCATTGCACTGGAGTTGTTATAAGCTGGCCCATATACCCGTCATTTTCCATCACTAACAATAGAGCCGTGGGAGACGATACGCCGTAAACCCAAGCTTCATGAACAAATTACGCAGCTCTTGCAAAATAAGCAGTCTCATAAGTACGCGTGCCTTGCAACCTGCACACTAGGTATCGTCGTCTCCCCGGCGTACGTTAGGCGGAGCTTCTGCGGACATTTCAACACGTTGGTGAACTTGTCAAGCCTCTACTTCAAAGCATGGTTCTTTGTACTCTCTAACCTGCCACGTTTGTATGCTGTTGTCACACGTGGCAGGGTTGGTAGCGATAGATCAC